CTACAACTACACCACATAGTACATTATTAAACCATAACATATATGGTATCAAAAACATCTGAGATATACAAATCCAACACCATATCTCAAACTTTTTACTTCGTATTAATGACTCTAACCTTATAAGCACAAGTATCTACATTAGACTTCAACAATTACAAAATAATTTATGGTTAACAAAAAATATTTTATGTCATAACAATCCAATAATAGATGAACCAAACAAACATACCACTATCTTTAAAATTATACAACTACTTAATAACCTTCAACTAACTATTCAGATACACTCTAGCAACTTCAGACTCTTCATACTTTCACATCCATACACACTTATTGAAAAACTATTACATTTTCACAAATTATATCCCCAATTCAAAAAACAATTGTATATAAAACAAATTATATATCTAGAACAACTAACCTTAAGTGATAACTCAGTACTACTAGACTGGCAACATATTTCTCTATAAATATAACAAATTCCTAAAGGTCACAAACCATTATAATTCCTAACTTTAGAAAACAAACTACTTGTCTTCTAACAAACAAAAAAAATTAACCCCCAACTTTTACAGTTATCAAATATAAATACATTATTCTTTACAACTAGACATTACAAAATCAAACCAAAACCCTGGCTAATAACATACAACCAAACTGATATAATTATCAGAAAAGCCAAAAGACATAATTGATTATCTTCATTACATACTGGACAATTCAATTTGACACTTCACAAACAGCATTATATCCTTATCCAGACTACATCTGCAAACAATATACAGAATGTCCTTTAAACTCTGGACATATACAAAATAGAATAAATATATACATTGCACCCCATGATGCCATTATATATTACCCTGCTATAAGAATTATAAATCTAAGATTTATTATATTTCGTTGCATGCAATCATGTAACTATGAAGCTTTAATCAAGAATAGTGTTGCTCATAATAAAAGAGTGTTTCGCCTATAATATATTATGAATGAAGTCACTCTTATATCATGCAGCAGCGGCATTATGCGATATATATTGTGAGATCACATATCAAAATAAATGAGAACTTAATAACTTACATCATAATGCGATACACTAATTTTATTGCATATCATACTTACATCATAAAGCGATACACTAATTTTATCGCATATTAAACAATCCAGAGATTATATATAATGCAAATTCAGATTTCATAAATTTGATTTTTTTTTATCACCTTCCCTTAAATCATTATCATAATAAACATGCTACCATATGAAACTATTATCAAAAATCCTTTAAATTATAATCCGGCTGAATTGATAAATATGGAAAGATATGTCTGCTTTGATAATACTGCTGAATGTTCTGCCCAAGCATCTCTCAATAATTGTGACCATAATATGGAGTATGATAATGAGATATTGACTTACCATCAAATAAATATTGACTCTGAAGAACATAATGAGGATGCATCATTGGCTAATAAAGAATGTAAAGTTATGGTGGCTTCAGAAGGCATACCCGAGTGTACTGTATTTGATTCTTGGACGAATGTTGAAACTTTCTTAGAAGAATATGAAAGAAGAAATGGTTTTACAGTAATTAAATATCGTGTAGATAAAAATAAAGCTAGAGTAGTCTATAAACGAACATTTATTTGTGAATTTGAAGGAAAGTACAAACCTAATAAAAATCAACAAGAAAAACAAAGAATTACAAAAACTAAAAAGGTTAATTGTTCATGGCACATAAATCTTTCTTATGGAGAAGCTGGAACTCTTATATCTATTACTATATTTGTAAATGAACATAACCACAATATTAACTTCGATACACAAGAATTTGGGAATAAATACTGCATTCTTACTGAAGATGCATTAAGAGAAGTAGAAATTATGACAAAATATGTGTGCCTTTCTATTACAGCACAGTAGAATCTACTAAGAGGATGTTTTTCTGATTTGCATTTCCATGATAGTGACCTTAACAACGCTATTCAAAAATTTAAAAGAAAAGAAACAATAAATAGAACAACTGATGCATCAGACCTGCTTAATTACTTATTAGCCAACAAGATGGATGATCCTAGGTGGTGCGTAGAATTCGAATTGGATGAAGAGAATAGGCTTATATGACTATTTTGGATATCACCTAGGCAAACTGACCTGTGGTTGAAATATTACAATGTAGTTATTAATGATAACACAGCAAAAACAAATTTATATCAAATGCCTTTGGGGTTATTCGTAGTTATTGATAATCATGAAAGAACAAGACTTGCTTGTCAGGTCTTAGTAAGCAATAAGACTCTTGATACCTATATTTGGATTCTAACCTGCATAAAGAATGCAATGCAAACAGAGCCTTTGGTTATGTTCACTGATGCGGACCCTGCACTTGATGCTGCAATTCATGTTATTTTTTCCAAGACATATGCTGCACACTGTATTTTTCATATAGGACAGAATTTGCCTAAAAATTTCAAATCTAAAATAGGTGATAAGTAGGAAGATTTTATGAAAACTTTTTATCAGTGCCTTAACAGTCTCTGCGAACCACTTTTTCAAAAATGTTGGAATAATATGCTCAATAAGTATCTAATGGCCAAGGATTATTTGTTACATGTTCTGCATCCAAATAGTCAGTCCTGGGCTCATGCTTACCTGTCAAAAATATTTACAGCTGGAATAGAAAGTACAGCTCATGTTGAATCTTATAACTGAGTCATTAAAAGAGAAATCAAATCCAATTGTACATTAATCGAACTTGCAGATTGTCTTAATCAACAGCTGAAGGCAGAGACACAATGGAATAGATTTCATCTGTATAAAGATTCAACGACATTTCCCACTGTTTCTACTCCTGGACATGCCCTTTTTCCAGCAGTAACCAAAAACATTGACAAATACCTCACAGATATTATTAATAACAGAATTAAAGATGAAATGGCAGAATCCTTATTTCTTACAGCTAATCAGATTGTAATAACATCTTATAAACTTAATTTTGAACAAGAAATTGATGAAGAAACTTCATGTGAATTTTTTGAAGACAATTATGATGCATGTCAAATTACTCTTCAGTCTATAATAGACGAAGTTGAAAATGAAAAAATAAAAGAAATCTGGAAGATTTCTGATATTCATAGCGAAAAAAGACATTGCATACATTTTATAGTTATCTTAAATCCAATATCCTTTCTATGCTTATGCCTTATGACTATTTCAAGAGGACTTATCTGTCAGCATTATTTCTGTATAATGATGCATTCTAAAGTTGCAGCCTTTCATATATCAATGATTCCCTCATAATGGTACAAAGATTCCTATCAAGAGAATAAAATGTATGAAGACGAGAACATTATATTTAATCATGAAAAAGGAATTGTTAATGAAGTATGTTACAGTAAAGAAGTTCTTCCAATTCGACAGGCATCTACAGTTTCACTCATGGCTCCGACTATGAAAAAAACTTTACAAAAAAAAAATCAATATGGCAAAATTTGGGGGTTAGCTCGTGAAGCGACATTGTTAGTGATGAATACTGAAGATAGTGAAATTATTAAAATTCTTCAGAGCTATATAATGAAAAAAAAGAATGAAGTAAATACATGCAATAATGATACTCAAAATAACAAAAAAGGAAATAACAATGCTGTGAACAAAAATCAAGCTATGTCAGAAGAAGATCAAGCTATATTGGAAAGAGAAGATCAAGCTATATTGGAAGAAGAAAATCAAGCTACATTAGAAGAGAATCAAGCTATATCGGAAGAAGAAAATGAAGCTATATCAAAAGGAGAAAATGATAATAATTCTACTGATAATGAAGTAACTAATATCCAAGTTCCACAAAATGTTCAAAATCCTCTTCATATTATTGGAAAAGAATGACTGTCTAAGCGTCATTATAAAAGTAGCATAGAAAAAGAACAAAGTCAGTAAAAAACTTCTTCCAGAAGCTCATATAAGTGTCGTCAATATGAAAAAGTGGATCACAATGCAGCCTATCACAAACGAAGAGAAAGAGGAAGAGGCAGGAGAAAAGGCAAGGGCAACAAATAGAGTGTATATATTTGGTATGTATCAGTATATATCTGGTATATATATACATATTGTTTAAATTTGAAAATTTTGCATTAGTGTAGGTTAGGGTTTAATATTTGTTATTAGTTAACATTAGCTCAAAAAATTTTTTTAGGCTGGTTTTTTATCCTTTACTTTTGTTTTTGAATTGTTAATTAATGCTTTTAAAGTTTTCGAGTTTAATACATCTGAGCTTGGCCAGCATTAAGTGATACTACTATTTATATCTGTTACTGAGCACTTGAATTTAAGATTTATTAGTGCTAATTGGGGTTTTATCCAGAATTTTAGTATTTCGAGTAAATATATTCATATTAACATATATATATATGAGTAATAATTGTATGCGAAATTTAAAACCTTAACATTTCTAGTGCTAAGCAATTCTGATTTTATATTCGTTAATTAAACTAATTTGAAAAAAGTTAAAGTTAACTTTATTTTTTATATATTAGAATTAGTTTTAATATATAAAAAATAAAATCATTTTAACTTCTAGAACATGTGATATTTAATTACATCGCCCTCTAGGTGTGAAGAATATCTATTTTGCAGAGCACGATGTCTAATTAAGTTCTACAAAATAAATATACATTCGATATTACAACTAGTCTTGCAACTAAATTTTTGAAAAGAATTGTTTATACAAACTCATCAAAAAAACTCAACCTACATTTTAATCTACTGAACCTACTTTACTCAATTGCATTAAGATACTCTATTACAATACCAACACTTCTTACAATTACAATTCAGAATAACCCAATACTTGAATTATTTAATGACAACTATTCTACACAAACCTTGCAACAAATTGCATAACAAAATACTAATTACTTACAACTAACCTTTTATACTGATAGATTAGTAACATATATTACATCTGAACAATATAAAATAGGAATTAGTTGGGTCCAAGTTCAAAATAACACAACTATACAAAGCTATTTAGCAGAAATTAAGCTTTGGCCTTTCTTATATAAAGCTGAACTTATCACTATTTTATTAGCAATTAGCATCTGTCCTAAATCTAGTCAGGTTACAATATTCACAGATTCTCAATCAATAATATCTAAATATAACAAATTTTTAAAATTACTATTAACACCAAACAAACAATATTTCTACAACTATTGGCCAATATGACATACCTTACTAAATCTAACTAAAAATTAACAAATCAAAGTCAACTTTCAAAAAGTAGTTGCACATAGCAACAACATCTTCAACAACATAGCAGATAAATTAGCAAAAAACTGAA